TGATACTAAACCTGTGGCATCACCTTGAAATTGGACGTCTGTCTCTTTAAAAAACTTCTGCTCTTTCTGAAACTCCACCTTCAGAAAGTCATCACAAGATGGCTCCTCTTTTAACCCTCTAACAACATGTTTACCAGCGTTCCACTGGTCAGTACCTCCTATCGTGCCGTTCAACCAGGTGTTTGCTAATTCCTGCTGGCTAGTCTGAAGGAGCTGAGTGGGCGCCAAAGGAAACATGCATGAAAAAAATCAAGGTAATGTTCCAGTTCTGCCTTTGATGAAGGAATAACATTAGAACATGATGTAAAGCCCAAAACAGTTGATTTTACACAACACTGGCTCTATAATGCTCCTCCAGTAGCTGCTCTGCTCAGGTTCTTCCCCAGCTGCTCTGCCTTCTCCTGATCCATCACGCCTGGTTCTCATTCCACTCATCCACCTTCCCAGTAGTTCGCAGCCTGTGGATTTCCCCTCCACCTGGCCAGATTCATCCATTCTCTGCTGAGTGTTTTTCTCTCTGCCAATTGTCCTGAAGTCCAGTTGGTTTGTTATTTCCTGTCTGATCTCCTCTAGTTTCTCTTGCGCCGGTTCCTGTAAGCCCTTTATTATTAAACCCCATTTGCAGGCAGGTGGAATAGAAGCAGATGTTCAGATGTTTAAAATATGACCATAAGTTTGGACCGTCAGAAAGATTCAAGATGGTCTCATGAGACATGACAGACCTGAAACTTTGCTGCGACACTTTCTCATCATCAAAATGTCTTCTAACCTTACCACCAAAGTACACAACACAAATGTTAAAATCCAGCATATGCTCATCTAAATCATAGATAGATAGCTCTAGCCATCAGGAGCCATTATGACCAGTCATCTGTCCTTTCAGTCTTTCTGCCCATTGAAATTATACTGGAATAATTATATAGATATTGAAGCCTAAACTTCTTTCCCTTGCTATATGTTTTAGAACATATACAATTATGAATTTTAACATTTATTAGCCCAATAGGGACTTTGTTCATTTCTCTGAGCATTATACCGTTGTGCATTATTTTTATTATTAGTGAAAAGTTTGATCTTTGATCCACATCTGTGCTGCTACAGCTGCTGAAAGGATATCGGTTTCTTCCAGTGAGTCGGGTGTTTGTCCTCTGAATGTTGTTTCTCTGCATCTTTAAATATGAACCTCCTCTTCCTCCTCCTCACTTCTCTGAATCCCGTCTCAGCTGCAGTTCCAGTGCCCCGCTCACTTGTGTCTATAAAAGTCCACCGGTAGAAGTTTGCAGACCGTTTAAACTTCCCTGCCTGTGCCGTCAGGATGCTGCCTCCCTGTTACTCTCTGTGAGTCCATTTACTCAGCCGAGTCGCGTAAACACAGCTGAAAGAGACATTTAGTCAGAATCTGACGGGGTTATTTAAGATGCTCCAATTAGCTGCCTGTCATTTCCACAGTCCATGCTGAGCATTCCGTCTGTCTGCACGTCCTGCCAGAACTTGTGTTTACTGCATTTCTGTGGTTCCTGTCTGAAAACAGCATGCGTTACTTCATTCTATTTACATTCACCAAAGAAAAACTCAGCAGCTCATGTTTAACAGAACTACTCCAGGATGAATGTTGGCTTAGCAGAGTATTTATAGTTAAAGTCACATGCGTAAATACACCGAATGAAGATATATATTCAATTTTTATTCCGACTGCTCAGGATTAAATGAAACTCAACTTTTCTTGTTTTGGATCGATTTGGATTACAGAAGTTAATTCTATTTTCTGAATGTCAGGATAATGAGAGATATTTAATTTTTTTTATTATTATTTTAGAAAATGTTTTACGACTTTATTATCTGGCATGAAAATGACTCAAAATCTCCTTCCTTTCCTCATGTTTACACCCACAAACCACATGTTTTTAGTTCACCGAATATAAATCTACAGCTTTGGATAACATTGCACTGAATCCATTGAAAACCTCCTGGTTATTCCACCAGATATTGATTTCTGAACTCTACCTGAGTCCAAACATTAGTATTGTTGTTTCTAAATGAATATGAACTTGTTTTCTTTGCATTATTTGAGGTCTGAAAGCACTGCATCTTACATTATTTTGACCATTTCTCATTTCTGCAAATAAATACAAAATTTTTGCTTGTAATTTCAGAGACATGTTGTCAGAAGTTCATAGAATAAAAGACCAATGATCATTTTACTCAAACATAAACCTATAAAAAGTAAAATCAGAGAAACTGATCATTTTAAGTGATCTCTTCATTTTTCCAGAGTTATATACAATATATACATGTATATGTGCATGCTAACCATGACAGGAGCCTTTCACAGTCTCTTACACATTTGTTCTGGTTTCTATGATTGAAATGATCAATGTTAGCGTCTCCAACCTCTAACAAGCCTGCTAGGAAAGCGAAACTCTGAAACGTTTGGTTCTCAGACAGCAGAAGGTGATGTTGTTCAGTGCTGCAGACACAGTTTAGTGTGGAAGAATCTCTGAATGGTTCGGCAAGCAACTTGTAACATGTTTGATTTGAATAATTTGCTGTGATCTGACCCCCCTTCACCGAACTGCTGCAGCTCCATAATGCATCCAGGTGTGTTTGCGAGGAAGTTCGTGACACACCTGCAAAGCCTTGTGAAGCCATCCACCACATTCATATTCATTTTTCTATTTTTTTGCTCTGTGAATACTTTTTCATAGTAGGTCATGAAGCTGCTGATTGCAGTGAATTACCTCTGGCTACAGACGGCATCTACTCTGCAACCGACACATGATCCAACCTGCCGAATATCGGCGAGGAGTTCTTTAGAATAAAACAAAACGTGCCTTCGGGGTTCAAACTTTTGAATAATCCTAACTTTAAGAACTGCTTTGTTTTTATATTGCAAAGATTACAAGTTAACAAAAATGTACTTACATGTTTTATCTCAGTAAAAACAATTTTTTACAGAGATAAAAGAATGTTTCTTAAGAACACAAAGGAACCTGAGTGGATAGAAATGAAGCCCTTTTGCTCTTTGTAACATTAAAGTACTGAATATAAACATTTCTATGATCCTCTGATGTATGAACAGTCTGAGGAAATATCTTCATGTATTCATTATGACAAGACTCCACCCGACTGTGAAACCACCTATTTTAAGAAAAAAGGAGGAAGATGAAGCCCTGTTAGTTCATTAGTTCAAATTTAAGAAGCTATTTCAATTTGCAGAAATGTCTTCTGTTTCAAAATAGTGCTGGAAATTCAGCTGTGCTCAGATAAACCAATGCCAGCTCTTTCTGCTGTGACTTTAGAAGAGGAAAGATAGAAGTTGAGTTTCAGAAGGAAGCGCTGCAGGAATCTTCTTCTGTCTGCAGCCATCCAACACCCACAGCGAGAGCAACGTGGGAGTTCATCTGTGGTGTGTAAAATGAAATAAGGAACTATAAAAATGACAATATGCTTTTTAGTTATTAGTGTCTAAAAGTGGCAGTTAGAGATCTTTCTACCATATTGTGCTTTGAAAAAACAACCAGGCCTCAAGTTTTGATCTGTGTGTGTGTGTGTGTGTGTGTTGCTTGAGCCCCAGAAGATAAACAGTGTTGCTTCAAAAAGCATTTTACATCAGAAAGAAGACATCAAAAATCTGTAATTTATTGATTTTTTTTTTCAATCTCTATGCATCAAACACAACTGGTTTTCCAGTGAAGGTTGGATGGAGAGTCACGTGGACTGAGCCATTCAGAAACTGTCTGCTGATGAAAAGCATCTGAACTGGTAGTCATTGCTTGACTACGACTTGAAGATAAAGTTAGAATCATTGGAAGGAGTCAGTTGAGTTAGTAAGACCAAGTGATCTGGATGTTTACTGATTTCTGCAGATGGTTGTAGTAGCAACTGCAAATCTTTGTTTTTTAAGAACACTACATATGAAGGTGCTGTGGCGGCGCAGGAGTTAAGCACAACCCACATAAGGAGGCTTTAGTTCTCGACATGCCCATCACAGGTTTGAATCCCGTCCTGGTGACATGTATTGCATGTCTTCTTTCTCTCTCATTACCGACTTCCCTGTCTGAGCACTTAAAAATAAAGGCCACAAGAATCAAAAAACTAAAATGCTACATACTGCAGTTTATGACGTTAATTGGTCAAGGTTGAACCTCTTCATTTGTTCAGAACTACACTGATTTTTCCTGGTGCAGATTTAAGAGGTTTTCTGGTCTTTATTGGCGCTGTCAATCATATTGAGCATGATTAGCAGCGTTAACACCCTCCTCCTGGCTGTGATTGTTTTTTTGGGGGGGGGTTTGACCCAGTGGTGTGTTTCTGCAGATGGCAGTAGGACCACAGGGAAGCGACAGAGTAGCTTTTTCGAATGATCTGTCTCATGTCATCAGTCACAACATGGTGAAAAGTGAATCAGATATGTAAAAAACATATTTTTTAAATAAACGTCACACGCTGCAGCTGTTAGGATGAATCACGTTGCCGTCTCAAGATAACAATGGTGGTTTCTGATATGGGTGACATTGGCAACCACCCAGGGTGGAATCTTGTGGGAGGGTGACATGAACCGAGGATATAAATGTCAACATTTAACCTAGTGGGGGCAGGGAGGTGCCAGAAAGGTCACCAAGGCTCGGTCCACCTCTGATAGATAACACCACATAGAGCATATAAACAATTTTTCTGATGCGCTTCACGCATCCCAAGTTAATATTGGCTCGTTCAGTAAGTTCATTGGTGTCTCCATGTGGAATTTTTCTGAAAATACTTCACTCATCACTTTGTTCTTTTTCCTTTGAGTTGTTCTCTTCCTCAGTCCTCCCTTGTGATCACAGTTCACACACAAGCACATCCCAACACACACATCTCCCTTTGGAGCTGCCATTCAGGAATGCAGGTGTTACCCTAGTGGAGCAGGCAGCAACAGGTCTGACCTCCTGAGAGGTAGTCTGTTGCAGGCACCGTGCTGGAAGCTTTAAATGAAAAGACAGTCCAATACAGAAACACACACACACACACACACACAGCCGTGTGTAAGCTGTCTGGGGAAATTAGGGTCACTCTGCTGGGATTCAGCCGGCCAGCAGCAGCTCTCTGCCATGGAGGCCATGCACATGCTGGACAACTGGAGACAGGTAAATATCACTAACCTGTAATGAAAACTGGTGTTAATAGAGAACGAGCTCTTTATTTATTTTATTTTATTTTTTCTTTTGCTATGCTCGAGTTTACAGACGAGACTTTCCAAACATTGTTTTACTTCTCCTTTGTGAACCTGTGTGGCGCTTCCTCCAGGCTGACTCCACTGTCTGAATATCATTTTGCGGCTCTGTCAGGAGAGCAAACATGAGGATGTTTGCTGCGGTGTTTAGTCATCCTCAGGCTGAAGCTCATCGCAAACAGATTTCCATCCCCCGCCGCACTCACATCTCTGGGATAATTATGTGCTTTCTAACGTCTGCTGCATGCTAAACCACAGCGTGTCTCACGTCTCACCTAATGACTGCACAAATAGACCGTCTCACACTTACGTAGAATGTGGTTGCTGAAGATTTGTGCTAGCATACACAGTGAGATTTTATAATTATAATTTTAAAAAAAGAGGTTGGGTTTGTGCTGCTGACTTGATGGAAATACCCAAAAGGATTCCAGGTTGGGTTTGGTAAAATGCTCCTTATGAGATCTGATGTGTGTTCAGTGGAGGTGACGATCCTGAACGTGTGTGTGTGTGTGTATGTGTGTGGGGGGGAGGGGTGTGTGTGTGGGTGTGTGTGTGAATGTGTGTGTACCTTCTTGTCTCTGCCATCTGTTGTTTTGTCTTTGTGAGGGCAATATGAATCAGAGTTAAGATGCGATGGAGGCAGATCTGGGAACCCCCAGTTAACATCATCAGACCTTCTGAAAACAATTCTCCCATTCTTACATGAGAAGACCTCCACCGTGTGTCAGGGCCATCGTAAATAAGCCAGATATTATCTAGAAAAAACATGGAAATTTGTGAGTTTGAAACTTCAAAAAAACTAGAAAAATAAAATTCAGGTTAATCTCAGAAATTGTCTAGAAAAATTGGAAATTCCTGAGTTCCAAAAGTCGAACTCTTTTGACTTTGAAACTCTTAAATTGCCATGATTTTCTGGAATCTTTATGACATTTTTGGGAGAAAATATAAACTTTTTTTTTCTATCTCTAAAGGCCCAAACATGCTCTTTTAAGGCTTCATCACATGAATCCTTGCTGCCTTTCTTGAGGGTAACTTGGGATTCTCACTGTCTCTGTCTCTGCTTTGTCCTTTTTGCTTTCCAGGATCTTCATGTGTCGCAGGAAGACGTGGACAACTCCATGGACATGGATCGCTTCAACAGGAACATGCCTGAGCTCGGGCGAAAAACTCACCAAGTCTTACAGGTGAGTGTGTAGGTGTGTGCGTGTGTGTGCATGTGTTTGAGGTAGCACTAGATGAGAGCTGGAGGTTACAACACGAAAGTCTTTACTGAATGACAGCATCCGTTGATGTGGTGGCTTTGACAGATTCTTGCTCCAGCTCTCTTCAGATGATAATCAGAGGTGAAAAAGTTCCAGGTCGGCTGAGGCAGCACAGCTGTGGCGGATTCTGATAGCAGATGTCAGTGTGTCATTAAGCACCCTGAGTAATTAGACAAACCCCGAGATTGGAAGTCTTTGTTTCCCACCTGCTGTCTCTGACAATCCGATTAGGCCTTAAGGGGAGGAGTTTGAGTCTATGTGTGTGTATGTGTGTGTGTGTGTGAGGAGTGATCTTTTTGTATTTATTTGTATTTAGGACTCAATTAAAATCGCAAGGTCTTAATTACTTAATTGCAATGAATAAAAAACTATTTATTGACAAAATAAGCGAAATTTTCAAGTCAAAAATCCTTTTTGCTACGAAATTATTAGATACATAGTTATACAAGCTCAACGACAAAGATATTTATCATGTTTCATCTCTTAGTTTGGTTATTCAACCAATTGATTGGTGCAAAATTCTATTATAGCCATTCAGCTTCCAGATGCTTGAGGAATCATTCATGGAACGTCTTTAGAAATGTGGACTGTGGACCCTGACGTTGTACTGCTGTTGCATGTTTAGCATAGCGATGCTATCTTAGGCTTGAATAGCTCCTCTGATAAGCTAACTCCTTTTAGCACAACTTGAACACAACAACAGTGTTTTCCAGGTAAATCTGAATCCCCACTGGCTTCATCAGTCTCTGTTGTTAGCACGTCGTTTGTGCGTCAGGTTTACAGGCGTACCAGAAACAAAAGTTCCAGCTTAGGACTTTTGTACGTTAAGAAGAAAAATATGAGTAACTGCATTAAAATTTTTAACCTATATAATGGATGTAATGTATTAATTCAGATTAACGCATCAAACCGCAGCCCTAATAATAACAAGTTATGCATATGTGATTGTGTTGGAGTGCTCAGTATGTGAAGTGGCTTTGCAGACGCAGCTGTATCCCTGAATATATCAGTGAAATATGAACTTAGAATATGTATTCATGTGCTTTGAAGTGTTCCACATTTGGTACCAAACAACTTTAACCAGCTTCCCTGTCGCTGCTGAGCAGTGACATTCCCACACCATGACGCTTCCACCGCCAAATGTCTGTATCCATTTTGACATAGTCTGACCGGAGCACCTTGTTCCAGATGTTTGCTGTTTGACTGGACTTCTAACGCCTTTCTTTGAGATGTGACTCTGGATTTTATTGAGAATTATCAGAATAAAGAAGACTGACTAGGAAATGGACATCAAATTTTTCTATATTTTTATTTGTAAAACGCTTGTGGGCAAGTTTGTGTGGGCCTATCACATCAAATTAAATGCATTAAATAAAAAAAAAACTGTAATTACTTCTGGAAGTCGGATAAGAGTTAAAAGAGGGCCAAAATGACTCCACAGAGACAGAATTGACTGATTTTATTACTGCTGGCAGTTTTTAGAAGCTGCTGAATCACTGAGAAGACTTCAAGTTTAACAAATGGAAGTTAGTTTATGACGTTTCTAATTAGGCTGAATGCAGGAAATTTTGACAACCAAAAATGTGGAAATCCTTAGTAAATTTTCTACCAACGTTGCATGCATTAGATTGTATGAAGGCGTTGCGTGCACGTGGGCAATCTGAAGTATTAGAGCATGAAGCAGTTGCAGAATGCACCACTTGGGAGCAGCAGCGCACAGCAGATGCAGCGGCATGAATCCCTGCAGCTACTCACTACTCCCTTTACTCCCTGTTAGCCTTCCCAGCAGGCCAGGCTGTAACTCAGTGATCCTCTTAGGCTTGACCCCACTTCACCGGCAGACCACCACAACTAGATAATCCTAGTTGGACACACACAGAGGTAGAACAGCCAAACAAGTGGCCGGGTCAATAATTGCTTCTCAAGTACCAAGTATGTTAGCATAAAGGCTTAAAAGTGGCACAAAAAGACACAGTCACGGTATGTGTTCATATAAAATGTCTTCACTACTGAATGAGTCCAAACCCATCAGAGCTCATATTCCGACAGCTCCAGAAATAATCAAATAAAATGAAAATAAAAAACATGACAGTTACAATAAAAGAGCGGAGAAATGTCATGAACTAGAAATACGTTGGATCATGATGATCATTTAATAACGGTCAAACCCAGTCAAACAAAGAGCTGTATCAGATAGATGTCCATTGATGCAGACTTTTAATTAATAATCACAACCACTTTGCCTGATCGAGTTTGGCTGAGGGCCAGCGGTGTTTGGCATTGTTCAAATGTTGAGCCTTGCATTGTTGGAACGGTACATCAAAGTAGTGCAAACAACATGTAACCAATATGCCAGATAAATGTTAAAATAAGCCAGAGGTTGACATACAGTGTCAAAGACAGTAAAGATATAAAAATATATAACAACCTCAAAAGTACAGCACTGAGGCCTGCAAAGCTGTTAAAATGCATCCAAAATTATGTTGCTAATCTTCCAACGCTGCCCTTAGAGGGATGCGCCTGCAAATTTTGGACTGGGTCACTTTGTTATGATGTGGTTCTGCAGGCCACCATATATTTATCCTCCTAATATACTGTTGAAAGATAATGGATCTTCCCTAAATAAGTTATGCATAGAGATCTGTTTTTGAGTCGTACACTTCAAAGCGTGTAATGCTACTTCTGTTTTGCCTGTGAAATAAATAAAAAAAGAACTTTGTTCATATCCTTAACACAATCTGGTAGAAATTGAGGTAGAAGTTGTCCAAACATCATAAACAAAGACTTCATTTGTGGAACAGATGTTTGGAAAAGCTCAAGTTAGCTAGAATTCCCAAAAGGTTTTATGTTGAGACAAAATATTTAATTGGAAAATTCTATTACACAGTTATAATGAGAAGGTTTCTTGCACCTGAATGTATTTCTCAGCTTTGGCAGTTAAACGCTCCTGCAGCCGCCATTGGAATAGAGATCAGTTTTCTAGCTGAGCATCAGTCAGAATCAGCTCTGTCTTAGCATCTTCAGGTTAGCTACAGCCACTATGCTCCTCACACTGATGTCTTTCTTTTAATTCAGTGTTTGAATAATATGATGTTTGCGCCTTGCTTTTAACATTTCAACTGAATTTAGCTTAAAGAAAGCTCATTTATGTAGGAGTTCACACATGCACTAAATAGAAAACGAGGGTGAAATAAGTCATGGTAAATAAGAGGGCTGAATGATATCGAAATGCCTGTTTTAGCACCGAGGTATTGGTACATAAAGCATAAAGTCAGCAGGAAAAAAAAACTAATTTATTCAGTGTTTTGAAACCTTGGAGGTATTGCACAAAACTGCTGCGGTGGGATTAATTTAATGAAAAGCAAATCACTGAAAAGCAGAGTTGGCTTTATATTCAGGCTGTGCTGAGAGCTCAACACAAGTTGGTTCTCTGAACTGCCTCCAGCATCAGAACTGTGGAGAGCTGTTGCCATGGTGACAACCCCCTCACCCCCCTTCTTGCTGAGCACATGGTGACGCTTCAGGGAGAGCTGGGAGGGGGAAGACGACACACACACACACACACACACACACACACACACACACACACACACACACACACACACACACACACACACGCACTTTTCCTAGTGTGTGAACCAGCGGTGGAGAAAGGACTCACAAAATGTACTCAAGTAAAAGCACAAGAACCACATTAACATTTTTACTTGATTAAAAAAGTACTGACTTTTAAAAATACTTAAATATTAAAAGTGAAAGAAGAGAAGTCAGAGGATCGATGGGAGATAAGGCCCTCTGTCTGGGTGGACCATGATCCACTGAAGCTGTAACATTCTGCAGTGGTCAGAGCCACATCATCACCATCAACAATGTTTGACATGGTTCTGTGTGTTAAATCCTTGTCTGCAGAGTACCCCACTGGATTTAATCGAGACTGGAAAGGGGCTGAAGTTTCAAGCGGAGCGCCCCCACCTGGTCAGCCTGGGCAGTGGACGACTGAGTACAGCGATCACCTTGCTGCCTCTGCCTGAGGGTGAGCTGGTCACCTCATTTGTTCAGACAAATGAGACAAAAACTGATCTAAAGTACTTCACTGTAGAAAAGTACAGCTGACAGAGAGTAGAGTGCAAGTAATCACATCCACATTTCACATTTTCTGCCATCCAGTTTTGTTTTTTTGTTTTTTAACTTTATTTAACTTAATTTCATATATGACCCAACTGATGTCTACATTGGAAGGTTTTATCCAGGCTGAGAGGTCATGCATTGTCTCCATCTGTGACATTTGATTGGAAGATTGCTTCCATTTTGGAGGCAGAGTGCAGGTCAGAGTCCCTTTGAGTTTCCAGAAGAACACAAAACAGAATCAGGTGATCAGATCAATTCAGATGTTATTCATCATAGTTTAACTCAGTTTATATTTGGTTGTTTTATGAAGACCCTATTTAAATGAATAGCCCATTCAATCCAATTATTCCAGGTTATCCAATCAGACACTGAGATTTTTTCCATAATTAGCCATTTTGAGCCTGACATGTATTCTTGAAATGTCTTCTCAAGAAATCAATAAAAAAAATGCTGTATCAAATTTGCAAGTATCATACTGTTCTCTTATCACTGAAATTAGATCTGTAGGTGTATGTGCTGTTATGTTGTTGTATTTCTTGCATAACAAACAACCGTCAAATGTTTTTCTCATTTTGAACGCGAGAGCCGACACTTCGGCCATCGCTTGAACTGTCAAATGTGCAGAAATCATCATAAAAATAAGTTTATATATGCGTATTACAAAATACATATTTTGGTAGACCTGACATCATCAGAGGTCAGTTCTGTTTTTGATGCCGTCTTTTTGAAGCGTGATACATGCCCCTTCCTTCAGGCCGAACCACTCTGGGGTACGGTGCCATGGACATCAACATCCAGGGCCCTGGTGTGGCAGCACAGCACTGCTACATCGAGAACAATTCGGGCGTCATCACATTGCATCCTTCTGGGAACCTCTGCGCTGTCGATGGGCTCCAGGTCCAACAGCCCACCCGTCTGTCACAAGGTATGGATCTGTGACGCTCTACAAAAAGCAGCTATTTTAAGTTGTGCAGCATGTTGTTCCATTCAGTGGTTCTTGGTATAGCGCCACCACAGGAAGGGGGGGACAGGTTATTCAAATGCTTTGGTTTATTTGACGCAGTGCAGTGTGAAAGCGAATCGCACCAGCTGCAAATACAGCAAATGTTGCAATTTTGGTCACCAATCAAACCAAGTCTGCTGGACTATTAGGTGGGAAAATGCTCTTAACCAATGCTAGCACCAGCATCCATATTGACAAAACCACAGGGAGGGGAATTTAATTATACTCTGACTAAAGTAGGATGTGTCTGATATTTGCTTGACTGGAGAGTTTTTTTTGACTCAAGTGTTTGAAAAACACTGCATTAAACAACCTATGAGGCATTCACAGTACACCTGGATTTCTACCAAGTTATGCACAGAGGTTAGGATTTTGAATTTTAAGGGATTTAAGAGGTAACGCATTTAAGGGGCTACATACAAATACATGCCATAATTTTCAGATTTCAGAAACAAATGAAAACAATGTGTCCATTTCCTTCCACTTCACCACGATCCTCTTCTTTGTGTCATGGCATCCCCTTAAAATAAACATTGTTGGTTGTAATTTGATAATATGTGGAGATATTCAAGACGATGAGATTCAGATGTATCCCGTTGTTTTCTACGAGTCATCGTTATTTGCAGACGTTTTCTGGGAATCACAGTACGACCTGACGTTGACGTGACTCCATACAAATTAAACAAGACCCACTTTCACTTCTGCAAAATTGTTTCCTTCATCCAAGCCCCTCCTAACACTACAGCAAATCCTCAAGACTCAATTAAGAAGAGAGAGGAAAAAAACATGCATGTTATCCAGTTTGATGTTTGTGTGCTGTACAACAGTGAGGAACATTGTTCCATTCAGCATGTTGGAAATGCACTGTAAGCCTGACTGACTTCACTGAGGAAGTGAAACTGTAAGTGTTCCACTGTTAGTCATTGAAATTCATAGAAATTCCCTCCAGAGGCCAGAGTGGGCCAGACTGAACACTGAGGGTGAGATAAGGCGATACTACTCAGCATTACTCACAGCTTGTGAACTTCCCCCTGTGCTGCTGTCTCATCGCTCAAACTTCACTTTAACTAACATAGGCTTCTTCAAGGGGCAGTATTATGTAAAATGAACTTTTTTCGAGCTGTACGTCGTGTTAAAATCGTATTCCCTCATCAAAGCCATACCCAGAATGTTGCTTTGATTCTTTCATGAATGCTTTAGAAAGCCTTTAATCTCCATGGTTGGACGTAGCTCCAATATCTAAGCTTCTGAGCTTCCAGCCCTCCCCCAGGACTCTCCCACTCAGATCCTTCAGACTAGCCAGCAGAAATTAGCAAACACCTAATCTTCCTATACAAGCTGGTAAAATGTTGCTGAAGGGTTAAAAGAGGAGCCATGTTGTGATGACTTCCTGAAGGCGGAGTTTCAGACAGAGCAGGAGTTTTTAAAGAGACAGAGATCCAATTTCAAGGTGTTGCATTACAAAGTCAATTTTCTTTTAAGTCATATTTGATCTCTACGGAAATTTTATAACAACTGAAGTTAACATAGTTACTTGATTGTGCTATAAAATGGCACTACGCATCTGGAAAACACATAATACCGCCCCGTAATAAATCATGTCATATCCGCAGCACTGAGTGGTTTGTGTTGTGCCTGATGTAACTGTCTGTCAGTGTCTCCCACTGCTGGTATTTGGACATGGACTCTGGCAAAGTAACCTGAGTGGAGACACGGTGCTATTTATACTGCCCTCTCTGCCCCAGACAGAGGAAACCCTAAACCCAGAGGTTTCAGGTTGAAGACTGAGTGTGAGGTGAAACCTGAGTGCACTGTCAGGCTGCTGGAGGGCAATGAATGAGCGATCTGCAAATCTAATTTTACAACAGGAAATGGATCAGACTTTATTGGTCACTTGCCACTCCCATGCATTGCATGAGCAATACGTTACAAGGTGCTTCAGTTTTCTCAGTACAAGCGGGGGCATCAATAGGTGGAGAGGTTGCATCGCAGCAAGCCAGGACAAGATTGTCCCATGTGCCAAAAATCCCCCTAATTGAATCCTTTGGCTTTCCTTTTAATGAAGCAACCTGCACCTCTTCAAGGCTTTGACTTGTCAGCAGGTCGATTTCAACAAATTCAAGCATCAACAAGCAGCTATTGTTGCACAAAGCAAATGTGCCCGACAAGCTTTTGAAAGTAATTCTCCTGGATTTGCTGTGAAGTCAGAGGAGCCGGTGGAGAGAAATCCGTTCACAATCACAGGGATGTGAAGAGGAAGTCAGTTTACAGAAGGCAGGATACAAAGCAATAAAAGACCAAAGTGGGAAAGGCGTGTTGTCTTTACTGAACCTCAGCGGCTCAGATCAAGACATCATGTAGTTTCTAGCACCTATGTAAACATCTTTTAGTCTCTATTCATCCGTTGTTCGTGCCGCTTATCTGTTTTCCATAAACATTATGAAACCGTTCAGCGTTTGTAGCGTCACTGTGTTTTCTGCCAGCACCGACAATCACCTTCAGTTTGCTGTGGAAAAGTTTTGGTTTATTGAAATAATCGCCAGCTTCAGCTGAAACCAGATTATTTACACACATTGAATAAAAAGGTACAACGCAATGCTTTCTCACCCCCTGAAGTTAAATCAAACCAAAGTTTTCTTGTTTCAGATTAGTTGAGATGACCAGAATTAGTTCTATTTGTTAAATGCCAGAAAACATTTAGTAATGTCAGGGATAACCGCGTTTTGAAACTCAGGTCAAAACCTTTGGGCTTAAGTCCTTGCCTCGTTTTTTTTTTTTTTGGTTTACATTCTTTAAAATCCTTTTTAGACATGTAAAAGCGGTGAGGGTGTCAGCGAAGCATGCACTGTCCTGCCAATGACTGATAGTATGCATTATCACTAGTAATGGGTTATTGGTCATCTGGAGGTCTCTGGTTATGATCCTGCCACACACAGAGTGATAACTCCTGCAGAGGCTCATGTGTCTCCAGGGAGCTCTTGGACAGGACGCGTCCTCTATGTCCACTGTGTTTATGGCTCATCATAAATGTCTGTATGCTGTAACCTTTGCTCGTTAATGATTAGGATAAGACAGGAAAATAGGAGAGCTGCCTAATGAGGTTATTGCTATAATCAAGCGGTCAGAAGCAGTTCCTCCTCCTCCTCCTCCTCTTGCTCCTCTTCCTCCCCCTGACTCTCTCCTTCCCTCCGCGGGTTGTGACGTCACTGTGAGCCAGCTGTTTCGCTCAGCCTCGCCGCGCCACATCGCGTCTTCACGGAGCGTGGGCGGGGTGAGGGGGGATCACGGAGACAATGGGCAAATAGATGACAAAGACGAGTGAAGTCCCGTCGCGGCTGCGGAGTGAGGAGGATCCACGGAGGATCTACGGAGGATCCACAGAGTGATCCACAGAAGGATCCACGGAGTGATCCACGGAGGGATCCACAGTGAGCAGGCGGCCAGCCGCCACGGTGACCGTCCAGATGACCCGCCGGACCGCGAGCTTACCGGGATCATCACCTCTGCAGCGCGACCCGGAGGACAAAAGCAGCCAGTAAACAAACAAACGGCGTTTCTGAGCGCGGCTCGCGCACAAACACGTGGTTTTTATTTAAAGGAGCAGAAGCGATGAAAGCAGCGGAGGGACTGCAGAGTTGTGTTCAGAAGAGCTGAAGTAAGTCGGACTTTTGTTTGCTTTCAGTCTTTAGACTTTGCGTTTTTGGAAGCAGTTGCTGGTTTTCAGATTCATTAACCTTGCGGTTAATGAATCGCTACTGCAGAGATGCACCAGTTGTTCTTTCAGTCAGAAGACGTGTGGTTGACAGGATTTATTTTATGCAATAGTTAAAACCTACTTGTAACTTAACTGACCTTGGTATGCATGTTTTGACAAGGTAAAAAACAGACTTGTTGAATGTGTGAATCTACAAAAACACTCACCCTCCACAAACTTTTCCTCTTTTTTCGTTTTTATTAAATTGAAAAAAAAAATCGCCAATCAAAATTTGTTTTTATAAAGTGTTTTTCCCTCTCTTTCCATCTTCATCCTTCATTCATTCTTATTTTTTTTAAAAAGTCAATATATTTGGTGAAAATAATGTATTTCTGTTATTTTTCTTCTTTTTATGAAATAAAACTATAGTGAGTACAGAAAGGTGCTCTGCTTGAGTTGTGTTTGGGGGCCACACGAGCTTCTGGGCTTCTGGGCTCACTTTGGACATTACTGTTGCTTTTTTGTGCTGCACTTAACCAAATTCACTTTAAGATTGAGTAATATGCATTGAATATATTAACTTTAGTCACCACACTCACATACCCTTTTCAAATGAGATATTATTAAGATATAAAGACAAAAAAAAGTATAAAGTTGTGCACATTTTTGCCCCTTTTTGGTAAAAAGAAAAAAAACAACAAGAATGTTTTTTCTCTTTCTCTTTCTCTCTCATTCTTCATTTTTTATGTTGGGTGACAGTGACTTAGGACGTAGCAACTGAGCTAACTTCCAACCTGTGGTTGCTAGTTGAAATCCCAGCTCCTGTTTGCTTGTGGTGATCTGGGGGCCTGGTGACAAAGACTGACTTGCAGCATTTCTTCTGTCAGTTTGCCTCATGGCTGCATCATCATCAGTGTGTGAATGGCTGAATGATGATGAGCTTTGGAGTCCTCTGACTTAATAATACACTATAAATGCAGGTTATTATTTTTTTTACCCCTTTTAAAGATGAAAATGTTTATTGTTTTAAAATGACATGTTTATTGTTTTAAAATGACATGTTTTTGAGATTTTCTTGCAAGATTTTATTTCTTCTTAGCTAGGTAATCAGATTTTTGTATTTAAATTCATATGATGAATAAAGTAGATTTTATTTTCAGCCAAATTTCTTCAGTTATCCTTCTGACACACCTGACAAACAGACCTGTTTTTCTTTTTACTTATTTAA